AACGAACAAAAAATCGGTTAACGAATTTCTTACGAACCGACCTCAACATGTTTTCGCTTGCACTGGCCTGGCAACCAGCTTTAGTATCAGTCCGCCAATACAGTAATCGGTTTTAGGGCTTAAATTCCTTACTATATTAGTAAATATCAAGAAGTTTATACTATTCAATAATTTTAAAAGTTTAATATTAACTTTTTTTAGTCATTTTAACAATTATTGAGCATAATTGAAGGTAAAGAAACTAGTTTCTGGCGTGCCATCCAGCCTGTTAACACACCAGACAGGCGTTAGTCTCTCTCTGTTTTCAGTGGAGGTAACATCTTGCTTGAGACTCTCTTCAACTAAATGCTTTTTTCTGTGTTTCCAAGCAAATTATTGGTCATTTTGAAATATATTTTACATATTGACAATATATAATGCAGTGCAGTGTTGATTTAAAGAAAATAATCTTGAAATACACCAAGAGAACTAAAATTTTATGGGTGAAATGGTGCCACGGGGTGACTTCTCTTCCACCCCAATGCCTTCTCTTCTTCCTTCTCCTCCACCCCCATTCTAATTCCCATCATCATCATCATCCAGGAGCCTTCTACATACACACCTCAAAGTAAGTGAAATTTTCTACCATTTTTGTTGAATTTAGGAAATTTTCAGTGAGCTGGAACCAATTACCCAAAAACCCATTGAAACAATGGTTTCGGTTAACGAACTTTTCGGTTAACGAACAACGTGCTGGAACGGATTGAGTTCGTTAACCGAGGGACCACTGTACACATATGTGATAGGGCCTCTCAAGCCGAGAGGCACCCTGCTGTGTATGAGGAATTTCTCATTGGCAATTATACAGTATAATGCTCATGTCAAGGGTGATGGTGGTGTTATTGGTTTGACAGAGAACCCTGCAGCTCTGCAACGCTGGATGGTGTCCAGTCCTGAGATGGCTTGCGAAATAGAAGAGTTCCAGGATTCAGTGGAGAAGCGAGAAAAAAAGACAGAGCATCGACACCATGAGCAGACAAAAAGTACACAGATGACATTCTTCACTCATGTGAAGGCACTTAGCAATGTGATTAAGGAGATGGGGAATCCATTCATTGACAACAGTTGTGATCTTCTCGTCCAAGACACTAGAGATCTAGCTGGCCCAGTTGTAGTTGATACGGTCCATAAGATCAAGAGACTGGGAAGAGAACTGTATGAACATTTGTCAGCGAGTGTCTTGTGGACAAGGTTCGATCAATCAAGGATCCCATCAAACGGAACAACTTCCCTCTTCTCAGTCAAACACCAGTGCGGGAGAAGGCAAGAGCTAAACATCAGCTGTCATCTGTGAAGAGTGACTGTTCACTTTTCTCAAGTTTGTACATTTCGTGACAAACTTGGGATGGTGACCTTGATGAATTCTTTGCACACTAAAATCAAGTATGTCCACCATCATTCTCAAGTATGGGCAAATTGAGGCTTAGAACCAAGTCAGACCTTGTATACTGCCTGGAAGAGTTGATTCCTCCACCAACAAGGTATTCCTTAACTACTGCTGTACCCGAGCCATCTGTGGATAAGATTGATTCACCTACTACAGATGCTGTAATTTTGGATGGAGCAGCAATTGTCAATATGATGAAGCCTGGGACTTCATACACCTTCTCCGAGTATTCAACCTAAATATTCTCGCCGTACATCAGTTCACAGCTGCAGCATGCAAACAGGGTAGATTTGGTATGGGACTAGCATGTTCCAGGCAGCCTGAAGACATACATATGCAGTAACAGGGGTAAAGGAAGTTGCAGGCGAGTGGAATCATCCAATGGTCTACCTTGAAACTGGCAGGAGTTTCTTAGAAATGACAACAATAAAATAGAGCCGTTCTCTTTCTTGAGCAAACAAATAACAGCCCACGAGATTGATCGTCAGGTCATTGTCACAGATCACAAAAATGTACTCTGTACCCAGCCAAGTGACATCACCAGCCTTGCCCCTGTACTCAGGAGGAGGCCGATACACGAATCTTCCTGCATGTAGCAGATGCAGTCAAGCATGGCTATTTCATGGTGATGATTCGCACAATAGACACTGACGGTGTTGGCCATAGCAACTTTTCATCTCCTCAATATCACTGAGCTTTGGGTTGCCTTTGCCACAGTAAAAGGCTTCAGATACCTCCCAGTCCATGAGATGGCAGGTTTTCTTGGGCCCGAGAAATGCAAGGCCTTGCCTTTTCTTCACACACATTCAGTGGGTGTGACACTGTTTCTTCCTTTGCTGGCAAGGGCAAAAGGACTGTGAGAAGTTTGAAAAGCATTTGATGAGGCTACACCAGCATTCTGTGTATGGCATCCACTCCTAGCTCTGTTGAGGACCACCAGGAGCACTTTGTTGTGCTCCTCTATGATCGCACTAGCAGTGCAGCGGGGGGTGAACGAGGCCCGTAAGCAGCTGTTTTCTCAAAAAGGCAGATCTATGGATGACCTTACCCCAACACGGGCTGTACAGCTACTCCTCGACTTACGACCACCCCAGTCGTACCCATTTTTTTTTTCAAATTACGTATTTTCGAGTCCCGATGTTAGTGATTGCGCTGTGTACTGACAAAATTTTCTTTTGTAATTCCCTTTAAAATGGCTGGCAAGCTTAAAAGTGAGAGCTTTGAGGTGCTGAAAAGAAAAAGAGACACCCATTTTAGATTTTCTATGAATTATCTTCGCATTTTCGACTTACGACCTGGATTTGGGTCCCTAACCCCGTTGTATGTCGAGGAGTGACTGTACTTTTGGAGCATACTAAGAGAGCTGCCTACCAAGCAGGTTATATCTGGGCACAGATGTTGATAGCTGTTCCCTCGCTTCCATCCCCTGGTGAATGGAGTTGGACGCAAAAAGAGGATGGAGGTTGGGAAGTGAAGTGAACAGCTCTTCCCGATGATTCTCATGCCTGCCAGGAACTACTTCATTGTGGTTGCAAGAAAGGATGCAGGGGGCAATGTAAATGTGCAAAGGCTGCTGCATAGTGAACTGCTCTTTGCCTGTGTGGAAGCCTATATGACTGAATAAGTCAATCTTGTACAGTAATGCAAAACTATTAACTGATTATTGGAGTTTTCACCTTTTCAACATCCAAATTAATTGTAAACTGTATTTTCTATAACTATAAGTTGACACATTGCTGCCGAGTCTTCCCAATATTTGATTATTAGCTGATTTACGCCAAATTGTTAGTCATCTTGTTATTTTTTGCCGTGTGTGCAGTTAATCTAATAACACAACAGTTATGATTTTTTTTCTCGCCAATTACGCCGTTTCCCGTATGAGTGAGGTGGGAAAAGGTTCAAGAGACTGAACCAGGGTTTAGCTCAAGTCATTTAATGGACAGGTGGCCAGTCTGTGGCACCCAATGATGATAATTCGTGATAAAGGCATTCCGGTCACCTCAGAGGATTCGAACCTATGAGAGATGTCTGTTTCAGTTTAGTGTTAAATTATGATGATTAAAATTAATGTTTTTACAGGTTTGTGGTGAATGGTGTTAAAAACAAGTGTGAATGTTATTGTATTTTTGTTGCCTTTGAAAATATTTGCAGTTCATAAAACAACAATTTAATTTTACATGATAAAAAACTGACTCATCAGCTCCTAAAAGATGTTTATTAGCTTTAAACAAAATAAGATGTAATAATACTGGTTACCTATACAGGTAATCTGAATCCAACTGTTAACGGATCTATGCTTATATGTAGGGAACGGTATTTAATAATAATCACTATTAAAAATGGCTGTCACAGGACTCAGGGCAGATCTGAGATGGCCCTATAGCCCAAAATGTTAACCCTGCCCTCCTCTAAGCCTGTGCCAAATTTCATGCTTCTATCATTAAACCCATAATTCCTTGATATATTTCCCCAATCTGCCTGACTATCAAGGATGAAACAGACTGTAAAGAGCTGCAGGAAGATCTCTGTGAGCTTCAAGAATGGTCGAAGAAATGGCTGCTAAAATTCAATGTCACGAAATGTAAGAGACTGGACCTGGGACATACCAACGGTAAGGAGGCGTATCATATGTCCCAACGGGACGAAGAAACTGAATGCGAAAAGGACATGGGTATGTATGTTGACAATGAACTGAAGTACTTGGGCCTTTGTAAAAAGAAGGTGAATCAAGCAACTAAATTATTAGGTCTTTAAGAAGGTCGTTCAGATATCTAGACCGTCCCTCATAATGATATTCAAGAGTGAGGTACTTCCCCAACTGGAGTACTGTGACCTCGCCTGGTCCCCAAGATATGCTAGGGACAGTCAGTTGATTGAAAATGTCCAAAGGAGGGCCACCAGACTAGCGCCTGCACTTCGGCACCTCAGCTGCCCAGAGATTAGAGCGCCTCCAATTGCTTACCTTATATACTACAGACAGGCAAGGGGAAACCTAATTGAAGTGTATAAACATCTCAAAGGGCACTACTCAGTTGAGTGTCCATACCTGGAGCTGGTGGACGCCCACCCCACAAGTCACAGCTCAAGGATGAAGAAGCCACAAGTCCAGAAAACTGCGAGGACAAACTTTTTCGAAGTGAGAATTGTGAACTCTTCGAACAACCTGCCAAAGAGTGTTGTGACGGCACCGAGTGTGAGCTCTTTCAAAACCAGACTTGACCAACACTGGAGCAGGTTCAGATACATTCAGGAACCAGTGCATGCCCAGTACTTGCCAACAGTGCGTAACAGACGTGACCGACAGCCCAAGCGGCTAACAAGCCAATCAGTGGCGAAGAGGATAAAAGTATAAGTAAAAAAGTAAAAAGTGATAAAATTTTAGGACAATGTTTATGAGTCTCATGAACTCTTCCTGATGACAAGAGCTTACCATGTGTCCTTTGCACAGGGACAATGTACATGTTATTTCTAACTACATTTGGTATAATGCTGAAATCTAAGAAGGAATATAAGGTACAATAAAAAAAATTTAAATATTCAATCTCATGTTAGATGAGAAGCCAATGAGACTCACCTCTGGGTCCTCCGATGGAACTAAAGTAACAACTCTGCCCGGCTGAAAAGGAGAGGATATACACAACATAAGCAAATACTGTATTGTACTGTACAGTGCATACAACTTTAGCCTGATAAGTATATACACAACAAATAATTTCCTACAGAAACATACTGTAGAATGATACCATAGCTTATGAAGTACAGTACTGTAGAGGATACTGCCCAACAATAATACACAGCAGAGAAGGTTTATAGTGGGAGGTGATGAAGGATGAGTTGGCATGTTCCATCCTCAAGTGAACTCTGATAATTTCATCAATAAAGCAGATAGGCAAAATAATCAAAATATCGCTGGTTTTCAAATCCTGTTGACAGATTGACTCACCTTGCCAGGTACGCCACGATGATCAATACTCGCCTGCCAGAACCTCCGAATATAGCCCTTGATATAACCGACTACACGCTGATGATATGGAAAGTCCACTTTCCATACAAGTGATCCATAACCAAAGATCCACATGCTCACTTACTGAAATGTTTCCATCAATTTAGTCTTTTCTCCCCCTAAAACATAAGCATATTACCGGACATACTACAGTATAGTACTAATAAAATATCAAGTGCATGATTTTGTATCCTGACAGATGTAGGCAGGACTTTGGGAAAAAATAAATTATGAGAGAAATGGGAAGAAAAAATTAAGAAGAGGACTAGTTTTATGGGGTACTTGAGTCCTGGAAAGGATTTTGTTTTGTTAGTAGACTTACTGCTATACTGTATAACTAACCCACCCAGCCCAACTACACCTCACCACATGATACTAGGTAGAGGATAAAGTAAAGTGTTGTTGTGTCCAAATACAGTGATATCTCCGTTAGCCGGAACAATTGGTGTAGAGCACTTCCAAGAATGAGAGATTTCCGGGTAACGAGGCGACTTTCTCAAAGCCGGAAAAAAAAAATTCCCGCATCCCTGGAATTTTCCGGGTAACGGAAAAATGTTTACAGAAATTCCAGAAATTGCCCATTACATCATCCCTCGAAGCCGGAAAAAAACTCCCGCATTCCCAGAATTTTCCGGGTACCGAGAAAAATTTCTCAAAATTTTCAGAAAAATGTGCTCCTCGGAAAATCGTTCCCAAAGCTGGAATTTTCCGGAAAATTCTGGCTTTGGGAACGATTTTTCGAGAAAACTTCAATCTGGCTATCGGAGCGTTCCGGGTTTGAGGGATTCCAGCTAACGGAGATATTACTGCACAGTACTGTACGTACAACACCTAAGTAATGGAAGGTGATAACACGAACCTTATGAAAAATCTGGTAAGGTTAGGTAAATGGCCTTTCTCCTCCTCTCTCCATTATGCACTTCTGGCATTTGTGACTTTCTGTATTATCAGCCACAGAATGTTTCATTGTTTAAGTGGTCTGTCAGCTCTGGACAGTCCAAGTGAAATGAAATGTTTTTTATATTTATCAATCATCTTTTACTTTTATTCCTGTAGATATACTAATAGTACTGTACTACAGATAGTCCCCGACTTACGACTGCTTGGACTTACGTCCATCGGTACTTACGACCTGCTCTGACCTTACGACCGTCGGGACATACGACCGCGGCAGTCATGACCAAAAATATTTTCAAATGACGCACGCATTTTCTACACCGAAACGTTTCTGTCCCGGGTGAGAGCGTGGCGAGGCTCTGGTCGCCGCGTGGGTACACTCACTCAGTGGAGCGTTTAGTTGGTGTTTGGCTATCGTATCCTACACTGATCGCGCTGTGAACTTTCGCTATTATTGTATTTAATTGATTTTATAATGACTGGAAAGCGTACAAGTGAGAGTGCTGGTGGTGCTCCAAAGAAAAGGAGACAGGCAAATACTTTTGAGATGAAAATGAAGATAATAACTCAGCATGAGAATGGAAAAACTGTAGCAACAATCTCACGCGACCTAGGTTTCTCACACTCGACTATATCCACTATTCTGAAGGACAAGGACAGTATTCGTGAAGTAGTGAAAGGAACAACACCTGTAAAGGGAACTATAATATCAAAGTAAAGACAAGGTCCTATTCACGATATGAAAAAATTATTGGTGATATGGATAGAAGACCAGATACAGAAGCGTGTACCCTTAAGCCTTCTAACCATACAGGCTAAAGCAAGAAGCCTGTTCCAAGGCCTGAAGGAGCAGGCAGGAGATGAATGTGATCAAACCGTTACAGGAAGTCATGGGTAGTTTGATAGATTTAAAAAACGCTACAGTCTACACAATGTTAAGGTGAGTGGAGAGGCAGCTAGTGCCGATGTTGGTGCTGCCGAAGCTTTTAAGGAGGCGTTAGATGAAGTGATTGTGGAAGGGAATTATTTGCCTAAGCAAATATTCAATGTGGATGAGACTGGATTATTGTGGAAGCGCATGCCTAAGCGGACATACAGTTTCAAAGGAGTTAATGAAAATGAAGTTATTTCGGATATTAGTAACAAGATAGTGGAATTACGTAAACAACTGGAGTTAGAAATTGATAAAGAAGATGTTGAACAGTTGGTTGAAAGTGTAGCAGAAGAGCTCAGTAACGAGGATCTTATTGAACTAGATGCACAGAAAATTGCAGAGGAAGAAGAGAGACAAAATGTAGAAGAAGAACCTGCACCCCCCCCAAAAAGTTTTCAGTGAAACAAATGGCAGAGGCATTTGCTACACTAAATAAAGGAATGCAAATGTTTGATGGCATGGATCAAAATTATGAGCGTAATGCCAAAGTTGACAGAATGATCCAAGATGCACTTGCTTGCTACAGAGAAATTTATAATGAAAAGATAAAACAAACTGTGCAGTCTCAATTGGACATCTACTGTATTTTAAGAAGTCCCTCAGTGCTGTCTCCTCACACCCCACCAGTGCTGCCTCTTCACTCCCTCAAGATGATCCAATACCTTCAACCAGCAAGTTTCCACAGTACATAAACCTGTCTGAAGAAAGCAACATTGATGACCCACCCAGCCCTGTCTCCTCCTCTGCTTCATCCAATTAATATAGTCTCCATGTATCCTGTAAATAGAAAATTATGGGGGCCCCATGTGCATTCACCTGACTACAGTGAACCTTCACTTTACGCGGTTAATTCATCCCATGGCGGCCCGCGTAAAGTGAGAAACGCGTAAAGTGAACAACATAACATATGGGATTAATTGAAATAGAGACTGGGCTGACCCCCAAACTCCACTTTTCCAGACACAATACCTACGTTGTAGTAAAAATAACTTCTTAATTTTATGATGGTATGCACACACAATTAATAATTAAGAGAAATATCAATAATATTAGGTTTTTTAACACTTACATTAGTAGAAAAGATGGCTGGGCACACGGGGATGGGGGGTTGGTTCCGAGGCAGAGGGCAGATTATTGGCCCTCACCTGTATCACTTGTATCAATTGTATCACTATCCACCACAGAGGCTTGCAGGGCCTCTTTGTCAAACCCCTCAAAGTCCATATAAGTCCATATGCTCACTATCATTATCACTATCACTGACTTGGGCCGGCTGTGGTGGGTGGCGGGTGAAGAACTCGGTAATGTTTTGATGACCGGGCGACCTTGTGCGCACCCTGCTCGCGCCGCTCTCCGTGTAAAAGGGCACACACACCGCGGAAAGTGAGCATTCCGGTTTCGGCAGGGTACTGCGTAAACGTGGAAACGCGTAAAGTGGGACCGCGTAAAGCGAGGGTTGACTGTACATTAAAGGTAAGTGCTCAGTCACACTGTATCTATTCCTCATTATTTAATACTTTTACTGTACTGTATCCATTCCTCATTATTTATTACTTTTACTGTACTGTATTTCATTGTAGATTTTTTTTTAATTTTGAATATTTTTTTTATCTGTCGGACTTACGACCAATCGGACTTACGGCCTGGATTTGGGTCCATAACCCCGTCGTAAGTCGGGGAGCACCTGTAATTAGAAACCAAGATTAAGCAAATGATAAGCATCAGATGGCTTCGTTGGCTGTCTTTGGTTGAAGTGCTTTACTGTTTGCTATCATTGTAGAGATACTGTATACTGTACTTGCACTGTTAAGGTACTGTACTGTACATTGGAAACAGCATAACTGTATGGTCTATGTACAGTCCCCCCATTAGCCATGGGGTCGATGTTATTCGAGGCTTTCCGAGCAATGTTATCTCAACCTGTTTTTGAACGGTTGGTAGTTCTACATCCACGACCTTTGAGCATAAATGAGTAGCTATAGGTGCATACAGTATTCAAATGACACATGCATTAATATAGCTTAATTGATTCCTTGTTATACCCCTGCACTGAAGTACAGTACCTGTATCTAGTATGCCATACAAGGACGACCACCTCCCCAATCCTACCCCCATCTCTAGCTGTTGCTGATATGGCAAGCAGGCATACCAACTCATGATGAAGCACTGGGGATCATATCAAAGCATTTCGTCAAGTATTTCAAAATGCAGCGACGGAAAATCTAACAATACCTTTTTGGGGGATTACACACCATACACCTGTGCAGTGCCATGTTTAGACTTGGCAGGTCCTGTGGTGGCCCACGACTGTGAAAGGCCCCCCCCCCCCCTGATATATTTTGAGTAGACTGTTCACATTAATGAAGGTATCTACCATGGGTTAAATGAAAGTGAACATGAACAGCTCTTGGTTGTGATCCTTGTCAGATTCATCAAGGCAAATATCTGGATCTCAAAGGAGTCCAGACAGCTGAACCAGCTCATCACTGAGTGACTCTTCAAAGTCTTCACGATAAGTTCCACCAAATTGGTTGCTGCTTTGCTTATATCAGCACTTGACAGATTAGCTAAATCTGATAAAAAAAAAAACTTGTCGTACAGATCTTCATAAGCCTGTGACCTCTTTGAAAAGCGCTGACAAAGTTGTCCACAATGAGGAAGAACTGTTGCCTGAATTTCTGCCTCAATGATCTGGGATTACTTTTTGATGTTCCATTTGCAAACCTCTGTTGCCTCAGCTTTCCAATATGTTCTGTATTCTTAATTTCTTTCCTTCACTAAATATTGTCTTTCCTCTTGCTTCATACTCTTCAAACTTGAATCTCTCCTCTTGAACAAAATGCTTGAGAGATTTGTAGTTTCACAGTGGTGCTTAGAGCTATACACTCTTTCTGCAAACTAAAGTTAGTTGCTTCAAACCACTCTAAAACAGTTCCCCAGAAACACAAAAGTAGGGTCAATTCTAACTTGTCCATCTTTTTCACAAGACTGCCAACTATGGCTGTTGTATCAGTTTTCTGAAATCTGTCTTCTATTGTTGACAGTCATCATTTGATAGCATTATAGCCTTTCAGGATTGCATTGACTGCATCATGTCTGGATGACCAGCATGTATCTGAGCATTACTTTACTACACTCAGGCCCAGTGGAGCCACCTTATCAGTCAAAATTTTCCATCTGCTTGTGGATGCAGAAAAGAAAGTGTAGACCTTATTTACAAAGGAGAAGAGATTAACAGCTTTAATACAACAGGAAGCTGCTACCTCTCCAACCAGCATGAGTGAATGTGCAGCACTGGGGACACAATCAGCATATGTACTTGCATTTTCTTTTGATCAATGCCTGTAAACCCTGGTACTTCCCACTAATATTGGCTGCATTAGCGTATGACTGAGCACGATAATTTCCGATGTTAATGCCTTGAGCCAAAAAAAATTCAAGAATAAGTTCAGCCATGCTCTCTCCTGTATGTGAGTGAAGTGGGATATACTTTATGAATCTCTCAACAGGTCCCTTACTATTCACATACCTAACAACGACGGTCAGCTGATCTACATGGGTGATATCAGGTGCAGAGTCCACTGAAAATGAAAACTATCTGGCATCTTTACCGGTAATCTCTTGCATTATCTACGAGAGCATCATGTTGCCAATAATATCTATCAGGTCTTCATTGATGGTTTTTGAAAAATATGAAGGTCTCCCAGAACCTTTCTTAGAGAATGTTTTCAAATGTTCTTCAAGAAATGGGTCATACTGAGCCAGCAGTTCAATCAGCCCAAGGAAGTTTCCATTATTAACTGAGCCAATAGGCTCATTTGTTCTTCTCAGAGTAAGACCACACACAGCCAAGAATTTTAAAGTGCTGATTACACATTTTAGGACTTTTTGCCAATGCTGACATTCATCGAACTGTTGGAGCAACTTGTAATCTATGACACTTAAATTATGTAAAACATTTAATGTTCATTTACATTTCAATATTTGTTAACTGCCATTTTTCATAATGATACAGATATCAAAATATAAAGTTGAGCTTAGAAGGGTCACAGGGGTCACTATATCTTTTGTACACAATATTATGGTGAAATATTAAATTTTTATAGCACAGGTACATGAAATTTTTTTGAAAGGCCCCTTCTATCCTTGGGGCCCAGGGCTAAACCAATTATAAACTTGTATGACAATTTTACTGATTATTACTATCATTACTACAGGTATTATTAACCCTTTGGCTCCTGGAGGTTTCCCTAAGTTGAATAAAATTGTCTGGCAGTAACCAGAATAATATTTTAAAGTGTGACAATCGGCACAAAATGGTTAAGAATGATCCCATTGGGCAGCATCAAATCTACTGGTATTACAGCTACAGTACTGCATACCGCTCAGTTCTTCATCAAAAGAGTGGTAAAGGTGGAGGAGATGGTTAGCTCCAGGACTTTATGGAATTGTACCAAATTCTCAGATGAAACCGAGTAATAGAATCAAAGCAACAGCAGTGTAGTATCTTTTTTTCTCTTTAGCCTATCCTTCAATCATAAATTACTTGTTAGTGAGCAGGACATGAAAGAGGAAAATGAAGGGGGTAAAAACACTGCGAACACTGATTATATGGCAGTAATTTAACGATTTCACGTCTACATCCCTTGTTGGTGAAGAAATAAAATATTTACCGAATTATGGTGCGGTCAGATCTCCCATAGGGTACAATATTTTGGTTCACATTGTCTGCTATACGGGAACGTCTGTGGTCTTTGTTAGGTAGGTTAGGCCAGGTTTTAATAGGTTCTGTGCAATCTTGTTTCCATTTCCGTGCTCAATACAGGGTATCATGCAAATAGTATCTCCAGAAATTTTGGTTTAATTCCATAAGTTATTTCTGGTGCTGTCTCCACCTTTACCCAAAGAACACTCGTAGAAAATATGAAATAATTCTATAAACTTCTTAACTTAATCGTCTGTTCACCTATTTCCTTGAACTTTAACCTAATTACTGATTTTTTTTGTGTGTATGTGTATACACTATAACCTAACCTAGGGTCTAAATTAAACACAAATATTAGACTTAACCTGAAAATCAGATGTCCACAAACTGAACATATGCCACAACAAATATTCCACACTCCCAAGGTAAAATATCCATGAACAAGAGGACCTCCTTCTCCTCAAACATTCCTTAAAAAGAAACATCTGTATGGTAAAAATTTTGGTTTTAAATCATCCATTGGACAAAACTTTGTAGAAACGTTAATTACAATCTATTAAATGTACACATGGATACGAGAATCTATTCAGTGTCGTAAGGTATGTTTTAATTTTTTTTTTTTAGTTAGGTAGGTTAGGTTAGGTTAGGTCAAGTTTTAAGAGGTTCTGTACATTTTCGTTTCCATTTATCTATTTAATATCCAGCTTAAAAAGTAACACTGACTGTTGGTGTGTTTCCCATTACGTGCACTGTGGTATTACTTCCTTTTGTTTGACAGTCAATTCTTGTACCATGTTGACAATAATACAGTATACCATGTTATCAAGTTGTCATGACTATCACCACAAGCTTTGATTCAAACATTAAAATGACTGCACTACCGTTAACTTGAATTACGTGAAACAAGTTAAAATTACTGAAATTCCTGGTTAATTTAGTTATTGATGCCAGTGGAATGGAAACACCTTATAGCCATAATTAATAACTAAGCGTTACGTATACCTCTAATCACAACCTTCAGGCCAGCACACGTGGTTTACACTCCAGAACAACTCGGGTTTTCAAATGTCGCTAGGCTGGTCCCTGAAAGCAGCTAAATGTCGCTAAATCTTCCATGGAAAGTCGCTAGCTATTATTTCTCCCTTTCAGTATAAATAAAATGCATTATGTAAAAATAAAAATATTATTTTTTTAAAGTTTAATGTGCACACTTACCTATTATTCAATAGTAATTACATCCCAGTCCTCTTCGTAGTGTGAACAACTGTAGAGGTGGAAGCATGTGAAGTGCGTGGTTCAGGTTCTCTTGTAACTGTATGCCTCCACAGTCCCTATCTTTCTTAAAATATCACTAGTAAGTTCATAACTTGCACAACAGGTGTTCTGTCTTTTTAACCCATACTTTATTGTAAGAATTGCCTTTAATGTCGATAGTTTAATTTTGTTGCGCAATTTTGATTTCACAAAGTTCATATTACTAAATGTGCGCTCTACATCTGCGTTTGAATGCGGAAGAGATAAGGCAGCGAGTGCAATTTCAGCCAGATCATGGTAAGGGTTTTCACCTGTCGCATCTCTGTAATTTGCCACTTCTGACCACAATTTTAGGGTGTTAGATGTTTCTGTCCAGATTGTGTGATGCAGTTTTTTCCACTGGAAATCAATCTTGGTAAGGGTGCTGGAATCTTCTGTAAATAAGTGTGCCAAACCAAGTATATCTGATTTAATAGGCTTCAAGCATTCATCGGCACTCAGAAAGAAATAGACTGCAGCACACGAATGTTGTCAGGTAAGCGTTGACCAAGTTGATTTGAGTTCAACCCGTTCAAATGTATTGTCCCTGTAACCCCGTTGCTATATATTATGGCTCGAAATTAGGAAAACTGAGTTTTCATGGACAGTCCAAAAGTATCCAGAAAGTCGCTAGATTTCTGTGGATATCTCTAGATGTGCGACAAGTCGCAA